CTCTCCCCCCCAAAAACCCACCCAAAAAAAAAAAAAAAAAAAAAAAAAAAAAAAAACAAACCCAAAAAACCCAAAAAAGCCCCACCACAACAGTGTCTCCAAAGTTTCCAAACAGATAATAAGTCCTCCTAGCAATGATTTAATGAGGAAAAATAAGCCCCAAACATTTAGTCTAAAAAGGAGCTGAAATCAGTCTGTGGCCTTTAACACTAAAATATCTTCTTGTACATTTTTTACATTGTTGTCATATAACTAAGCAGCAGATTTATGACACTGTGCATTTCCATACCTTAAAATACGTAAGAATTTCTTTTAAATGGAACTTGAATTTTGATTGTTGGCAATGTTCAGTTTTGAGAAAACATCATCCTAGTCATAACATTCCTAGAATGAGTTTCCTTAACACATACTCCCAGTCTTGACTATAATTTTTTTTTTGCTTGGAAAAAAGTGATATGCATAAATCCATTTTAGCCTTCCTACTAAATGCCAAAGAACACGCTATGTAAAAACACAGCTGAAGATCACCGAAAAAGTCTTGTACGATTAAACTGTATTACAGCATCATGCATGCTTAAGCTAGGACAGCTCACCAACAGGTGATTTTTCAGTTAAATGTACACTCTTATTAGAAAGAAATTAACTCGCTTTATCTTCTTTCTTTCAAAAGCCTCTGCTGGAACAAATAAGTTCAAAAACAATGTCTCCCTTTTGCACTGGCAAAAAAATATTTTACTCTACAAAACTGCTGGAAAACTCTGATTCAAGCATATACTCTTTGTGGAACCACTCTGCAAACTGGCAGGACAGTCACAACTCTTCCCACAGCTGGAAAAATCAGACTCTGCCACGGCTACCACCAAACCCAGAATCTGGAGACTTTTCAGAGCTTAAATTTCAGGATATATGTATCAATGAGCTACTAAATATTTAGCACTGCCTTTCACATTTTCATTCCAGGAAATTTCTGCATTCTTTCAAGGAACATTACGTGTTCTGTCCTTAGCAAGTTCTTTTCAAATACTGTATGGCTTTTTACTCACTAGCCTAGGTGAACAAATCTCATTTTATTATTTTTCCCCTCCAAAAACACCCTACACTTTCTATCCCCTGTGGACTCCAGTAACACTTCTATCTATATCTCTACAATTCTAGCAAAGCTTTATTCTCACACTGCAAAACTCCTGGAAATTCTCCTACTCATTTCATAGTTTAGTATTTAAAGAAAAGATTTCAGATGCAAATAAAGAAGTCTTCAGATCTACAAGTAGAATCTGTCTGATTAATCCTTTGCTTGGTCTCTCCTCTTCTCCATCTTTGCTATCCAGAAGTACATCTCACTAAACCTCAGGAAAGAATTAACTGTCGAAACAGTAAAATCTGTAGGGCATCACAAATTGCTGAAAAGAGGAATGGCAGGGAGGAGCTGTTAAGTATGGTTCATTCAACTTTATTCCTTACCCCAGAACTATTAAGAACTACCACTACAATGATTCACTGTAATAGTACAGATTTTCTGTAATATCAAGGCATATTTTCCCAACTTCAATTATTTACTAAGACAAACATATGAACCTAGCCATAAAGAAATTCAAATAAAATTACTTTAAAATAAAATCCAATCACTCATCCCAGAAATTAAACTTTGTAGTGAAATTAAGCATTATTTTTTACAAAAATACCCAGTAGAGTTTATTTCCATGCTTATTCTAATACAATCACTCTTAGAAGATGTCAAGATACATAGCTTTATATCATTATCAAATACAAGATAAGGCATAAATATCACAGTTGTGCTCCATATATATTTGTGGTTAGTATCAGTCCCCTAAACTTACAGAACAACATAAAACACAATCAATAAATAATCAAAAATCCTTACCGCTTTGTACCCCGTATCTGTTTTGCATGCTTTTCTCCCTGAAAACATTAGGATTCCTTGCCAGGATAGCCTGCAGCAAGACTGGTATATCTCCCTCTGGATCATCACTGCCAAGGTTATCTTTCAATTCTCTGGAATTGTGGAAGTAAGCAAATAAAGAGGCAAATGCATTTTCAAATTATAAGAAACCATGAGTCAAGTAAAAAAAAAAAAACAACAACACCAAACAAAAAAAAAACCAAACCACCCAACCAAAATCAAACCAAACGAAAAAGACAACAATTTACTGTTAAAATAGAAAAAACCCAAGTCTGCAAAGCACTGTTCCTCTCTTGTTTAAGGAATGGAAGAAGAGGTATTTCTACTAGCCTTCAAAATTATTTTCTGTTAATAAGCACTTATATATACATGGCTGTCAGTTTCAGACTACTATAAAAAGTTTCTTCTACCTACTTTTGTATCATGATCTTCTCCATAAAAGAACAATGCTTTGGCATAACATCAAGAAAGTATTATTGTAGTAGTGAAAATAAGATATGTGTGAATGTATAACATTCAGGTTGCAGCCCAACACTTTGAGAATCTTTTATTTTAAAAAGGAAAATTGGCATATCTTTGACATCACAGGACTCCCTTCGAACCATCAAAAATGTAATGGATTTTCTATAAATGCATCCGTACTTTCACTTTTTGTTTGCTTTGAGGACTTTTAAAAGCTACTTCCATTTGGTCAAAACAATTGATTGGAACATGTAGGAAAAAGACAGGGCTGTCAACATAAGACAATTTTTAAATTGGACACCAGGGAAAAATGAAAAAAACCAAAATATCTATTAACAAAAAGAGAATACGTTAGCATACTTGCTGGTTCAATTCTTAAAATATTTAAGTTCAATATCTAATAGAACTGACATGGGTCTTACAGGGATGTGTCAAACAAGTATCTTTTTGTGTAATACTGGGTATATGATTTGTCTATGTGCATTATTAACCAAAGTGGAACACAAACAACTATTGCACAATCAATACCACAAAGTTTGCACTCCTAACTAGAAAGAATAGAACAAGTAGCAGATCTATTTAAAAAAAAATAGTTATGCATAAGGGCTGTCGGACAATTACTAACATTCTGATTGACTGAAACAATTGACTCTTATACAGCGGTAATCTGCTAAGCAAGCCTAATAAAAAACCCTGCACGTTCTAATTTTCAGATTCTCACAAACACCCTTCTCAATTCAGCTCATTTTAATTTCAAGGAATAAGGATGGTGATCTGATATAGCTGAAGTTCAAAAATACATACATGTGATCTGTTGACACCTGATTGAGACTGTGGATGAGCTGTGAAACCAGATTTTCATCCCTGCAAGCCAGAAGGCAGTTCACCTCTTCAGCTATCCGTCCATTGAAAAGCAGGCTTTTTGTTGTTGTAGCAGGTAAAGGTGATGGAAGAGGCAGCTGGTTCAAAACTGTTGTCAGAAAACAAAAAGGAGTTCAGAATCATTTCATGAAACACGAGCATAGAAAGATGGACACCTTCTTACTCCCTCACATGATTAAGAAAGAAAACCTGACAACTACATTTGAAATATAGGGAAGATTTCTGGATTTTTTTTTTTTAATCATGAACACACACACACACACACACACACAAAGAGGCTGGACTCTGTTTTAAACAAAGTAATGCAGTCAAGTCCATAAGTTATATTACTATATTATTGTAAATATTTATCTGTGCTAAGGCAAGTATTATGAATAAAAACATACTTTTAAACATTCCAGAATATTAAGTTATTTAATGTTATGGCAGTTTTCTCTTGGAGCTGAAAGCATGGATAAAGGGAAGGAAGGAAATGCAAAATCCTTGTAGTTGCATGCAGTACTGTAAGTGCACTGATCATATACTTTAAGTTTTCTACTCTGACCTTCATATTTAATTAGTGTTTCCACTTTGTATGGTGAGGGTAGATTAAAATAAAACAAAACAAAACAAAAAAACACCACCAAAAAAACTAAACAACCCAACAACCAATTTAAGCCACTAATTATATTCTCAGTTTATTCTTTTCCTGTTGTACTCATTTCTATGTAAGCAATCTTCTCAAGAAAAGGCTAGTATCATTGGTTGGAATGATCACTAAAATATCAATTCAGTCAATATACCTATTCGCAAATCTTGGTAAAAAGATTTTTTTAATGAAAACACCTATCACAATATTTCAATCAGATTATAAATGAGCATACTATACTTTCAGAGGGCATTCTTAGGTCTACAGGCATAACAAGGAAGTGTACCAAATAAGAAGCCTTGACCGCATGATTTGGCAGGGCTACAGAGATGAGAGTAAGCCAGAAGAGGCCAAAAAGCCTGCTACATAGGAAAGTCACTTTCATGGGTCCATGAAAACAAGCTGACTCTGACTTCAAGTTCCCAAGCTGATTACATTAGAAATAGCTTCAGAAAAAAACAACTGTGAAAAATAATCTTTTGGCCCATTATTAGACACACATAATGATACATATATACACATATGCAGCATCTTCCAATTTAATATTTCAGAATATCAGAAAGACATGAAGAAGCGTTTTTTTCCCCTCGAATACATCTGCTTTTTTCACTGTAAGCAATTAAATTATACTTTCAGTGTCTCTTGGAAAGTCTCCAAATTTCAACAGTATAATAATAAAAACAAGAGCTCAGAAGAATCACTCGGGTCACTGAGTCCAAATATCCTCAGACAGACAACCGAGCTATAAACTCTTGCTTACGCTTTATAAACAAGATGCATCTTTGTCCCAACTTCTCTTATTGGAATGGTTGTTCTAGGACCTCATTATAGTAATGATTAATCTCCTCTTAGTTTCCACTAGAAATTTATTTTTGGTCAGATTATAACCATTTGGTTTTGTGCCAGTATCAGCTTTTAATGTAAACAGTTCTTTTCCTTTCCTTGCATTTTGTCTTCCTGACGTATTTAAAGACAGCACACACACCTCATCTGCTCCTTTTGTAGGCTCAACAGCCAAGAAAGAAACCTCATAGGTTCAGCTGCTTATTTCCATTCTAGAAGCTATTCTTTGCACCTGTTAATTGGAGCAACTTTTTTGTACTTTGTCCAAAACTAAGGAACTAGGTTTCAAGTATATTCGGCATATTCCACAACTCTCTCTAGCGGAACATCAGTCTAATCTTCTCTCTCTTCAGTGAAAATGATGAGATATATGTTTTAGAGAAGTATTTTATCATTTATATGTTTTTCTTTATTTGTGGGGTACCCAGATATGTTACTGAATGATATTCCAAACAAACAATGAATTCCTATATTTTATGATTCAGGTTTACTTAAGGGCTTTTTTTTAACCTACATTTCATTTCATGTTTAAATTAGCATATTTTGTTTGAATATATTTTTAAAATTCAAGCAATGACAATATTAACATTTTTAATACCAAATCTGATTTTGAACAGATTTACTTTTAAGAACTTTAAAAATAAAACTATTTTTAGTATTTTGAAAATGCAAGTATTTACTGAAGAGGCAGAAGGGAACATAGCAAAGACGAAAAAAAGAAGAGTACTTACGGTCTGTAAGACTAGCAATCCCTGCA